TGATTCGGATGATGATGATGATGATTCGGATGATGATGATGATGATTCGGCTGATGATGACGATTTTGACCATCATCATGATAATGATGACTCTGATGATGATGATGAAGATGATTATGATGGTGATGCTTTGGATGATGATTTTGACTCGGATGATGATGTTGATGATCATCGTGATGACGANTGATGATGATGATGATGATGATGATGATGATGATGATGATGATGATGATGATGATGATGATGATGATTCGGATGATGTTTGGGATGATGATTCGAATGACGATGATGATGATGATTACGTTGGAGATGATTATGATGATGATGTGTCGGATTTTGTTGATCATGATGATGATAATTATGAGGAATCTGATGGCGGTGATGATCATAATGATGATGATGATGATGAGCCTGATGATGATGAGGATGATGATAAGGATGCTGATGATGATGAAGATGATGATTAGACTAATGATGATGATGACGATGATGATGCTGATGGTGATTCGGATGATGATGATTATGATGATGATGATGATGACGAAGTTCTATTTGATGATGATCATGAAGATGATGAAGATGATGATGATGATGATTCGGACGATGTCGTTTGCGAGGATAATGATGAAGATTCGGATGATGATCCGGATGATGAATTGGATGATGATGATGATGATGATGATGATGATTCGGTTGCAGGTGATGATGATTTTGGAATGATGCTGAAGATAATGATGATGAATCGGATGATGATGTTGATGTTGATGTTGAAGATGATCGTGGCGATGATGAAGTTAATGATGCTGATGATGATGTTGATGATATTGATGATGCTAATGATGATGATGATGGTGATGATGAGATGATGGTGATGATGATGATGTCGATGATGATCTTGATGACGACGCTGATGATTGTGATGACTATGACGATGATGATAACGATAATGTTGTTGATGGTGTTGCTGAATTTTCGGATGATGTTGGTGATGATGATGATTCGGAAAATAATGATGGTGATGATACGGATGATGATGATTATGATGATCCGGATGATGATGTTGATGAAGATAATGATGAAGATGATGATTTTGATAGTTCGGATGATATAGAGGTTTCGGTTGATGATGACGATGATTCGGATGATGATGATGATGATGATGTTGGTGATGATGATGATGATGATGACGATGACGCTGATGGAGATGACGTTGATGATGTTGATGATTCTGATGAATATTCAAATGATGATGATGATGATGATGATACTGATGATTATGATAATGATTCGGATGATGATGAAGATGATGATGACGAATCGCTTGATGATGTTTATGACCATGGTGATGATGATGATGATGATGATTCCGATGATGATGATGATGATGATGTTTCGGGTGATGATTATAATGACGTTGATTCGGCAGACGACGATTCGGCTGATGGTGATTCGGATAATGACGACGATGTTGATCATGTATTTCCTGATGACGATGATGATGATGATGATGATGCAGATTCAAATGATGTTGATGATTGGAATGATGATGATTCGGGTGATGATTGGGATGACGATGATAATGATGATGATTCGGATGATGATGAAGATGATGATGATGAAACGGATGACGATTCGGAAGACCTCGATGATGATTCGGATAATGATGATGATTCGGATGATGATGAAGATGATGATGATGAAACGGATGATGATTCGGAAGACCTCGATGATGATTCGGATAATGATGATGATAAGTCGGATGATGATGATGATGAAGATGCTGATGATTCGGATGATGATGTTGGCGAAGATAGTGATGAAGATTCGGAGGAAGATTCGGATGATGATTCGCATGATGATTCGGATCATGATCTTGGTGAGGATTCGGATGCCGATGATGACGATGTTAATGATGACGACCCTGATGATGATGATGATGAAGATGATGATGTTTCGGATGATTAAGAAGATGATGATAATGATGACGATGATGATGTTGGTGATGATGATGATGATGACTCGGATGATGATGATGATGATGATGATAATGCTGATGATGATGTTTCGAATAACGATGTTTGTGAATGTCATGAGTGGGATGATGATTCGGATGATGATTCGGAAGAGGATGACGATGATGATAATTCGGATGATGATGTTTCCGATGATGATGATGATGATGATGATGATGATGATGATGATGGTGGTGGTGAACATGATGATTATCATAATGGTGATGATGATGTTAATGATGATTCGGATGATGTTGATGATGATGTTGATACTGACGATGAGGATTATGATGATTAGGCTGATGATGATAATGATGACGATGACTAGGATTCAGATGATGATCATCATGATGATGATTCGGAAATTGATGATGAATCGGATGATCATTCGGATGATTCGGATGATGAGATTTGTGATCATGTTGAAGATTCGGATATGGATAATGATAATGATGATGATGATGATGATGATGTTGATGTTGATGTTGATGATGAAGATGATGATGTTGATGAGTATTCGGATTATACGGATGATGACGCTGATGATGATATTGATAAATATGACCAGCATGATGAGGATTCGGATGATTCGGGTGACGATAATGAAGATGATGATGATGATGATGATGATGATGATGATTCGGATGATGATGATTCGGATGATGATGATGATGATGACGATGATGTTGACGATGATGATGTTTCGGATGTTGCCGATGATAGTCGAGATTATGATGGGGATGTTGATTCGGAAAATGAGGATGATGATAATGATGATTCGGATGATGATGATGATGATGATGGTGATGATGACGATGTTTCCGATTTTGATAATGATATTGGTGATGATGATGATGATGATGATTCGGATGATGATGATGATGACGATGATGATGATGAAGATGATAACGGTGACGATGATCTCGATTATAATTTTCACGATGATGCTGATGATGATGATGGTGACAAAGAGTACGATGATGACGATGATGATGATCGCGATGGTGATGATGATTCCGATGACGATGATTCGGTTGATGATGATGATGATGATGATAATGGTGATGATGTTGATGATGGTGATGAAGGTTGGGATGAAAATGATGATGATGATGATGATGATGATGATGATGATGATAATTATGATGATGATGATGATGATGACACTGATGAAGTTGAAGATGTTGATAATGGTTCGGATGATAATGATGATGATGATGATGATGATGCTGATGATGATGATGATGATGATGAGGATGAGGATGATTACGATGATTATGATGTTGATGATCATGATGATTATAGTGACCATGATGATGATGGTTGGAACGATGATGATGATGATGATGATGATGATGATGATGATGATGATTCGGAAGATGCTTCGGATGATTCGGATGATGATGATGAAGGTGATGATGTTGATGCTGATGAAGCTGATCATGATGATGATGATGACGTTGCCTCGGAAGACGATGATGATGATGATGATGATGATGTTGATGATGGTGATGGTGTTTCCGATTATGCTGATGATGATAATGATTATGATTCCGATGAAAATGATGA